ACCAGTGAGCATCCACCCACAGTTACTGCTAGTGCAAGATGCCCTGCACACCCCTCCAGGAGCCCGTGTGCCGCAGGGATCTGTAGGATCACATACACGTGAGCCGGCAGACATACAGAAATGCCTGCACTGTTTGCTGAGATGTATCCTTAGAGACAGCCCAGGCATTAGATTCCCCTGGAAGACTCAATACGCAGAGAACAATCACAGCAGAAGCTCTATACCGGGGTGGTTTAAACCCTGCAGTGGAGTTGCAGCTGATAGACACCAGTGAGACGTGATGCAAACCCTCCTGCCACCCCCAAAGCACCCAAACACCCCAGGGGCAGCCCCGAAGCCCTCTGCCCAGCCTCCTGGTGCTGACACTGGTCAGTGACAGATACCCTGGGAAGGAAACAGACCTCCTCATTAGGAAACCCTAACATCATTTCAGGATGACAGCTACCTCAGGAGACAGAGAAAAATCTGCCATGCTCACTGCAAAGGGGAAGGAAAAGAGAAACCACTTGCACAGAGAACCCTTCTGCACTGTAAGGAGACACTAACGGGGCTCGAGAGATCAAGTGATCCCTGCTGAATGCCACAGGCACTGACCCAGGGCTGTGAGAACCTTCTGCAGGTCCAGATTTGCTTCCAAACCAGATCCACTTCCCCATCCATTCCTTTGAGCTGAGCTGCAGGTGTCTGTGCAGGGGAGAGCAGGGTTAAAGAAACCAGCTCAGGCTTTAAACCAAGTCTTTGAATGAGACCTCAGCCTTCAACCAGAACACCAAGGGGCCACATCTTCCCATTTCCCCCCAAGTCAACTGCATTCACAGCTCTGCAGAACCACAGACCACCTGATGGCTGCGGGGGACCAGACCCACTTCCCCTTTCCATTCCTACCTGCCCCAATGGAAGGAGATTCAAGCTCCCGCATCAGGAATTGTATTATCACTGCAAGGAGCAAAAAAACCCCACACCCTCCAAAATGATGTTTCCAATTCCTGCAGCATTATATAATTAGCATCGTTTGTGTTGCAAAAGTAATTGCAGTAACATTTTTAATTAGTCTATTTGAACACTAACATTCCTCCAGCGTGCATAATATGTTGACACAAAATTACTGGGTTGGAGGCAACTCTGAAATGATTGGAGTTTGTTTTGCTTTTGTTTCTCACTTGCTTAATACAGTCAATAGAAGCACACGCTGGATGTCTGCATGAAGCTGATGGTGAGAACCCAAACCCGCAGCAGCAGGAGCTGCAGCGAAGACCAGAGCTGGGCTGGGTTTCACTTCCGTCTGGAGGGCAGTGAGGAGGTGGGGGAAGGAAGGGTGGGTTTGAAGCAGACAGCAAGAGAAACACTCACTTGGAAGGTAAAGCCTGGGTAATATTCACCAGTGGCTTAGGTTTGGCACCTAAGGTTGAGTTGTGAGCACACAAAGCAAAACAAGAGCCTGGGTTTGGGAAAGAGGAGCTCTGTTTGGTGTGAAGTTTGGGAAGAGATTAACTCTGACGAGCATCTTGGCTTGCTGAGCTGTAACCAGGGATAAGGAGCAAACATTTCACCCAGAAAAGTTACTGCAACCAGTACTACACGATGCTTTTTCTTTTGTTTCCCTTAAGGAATCACACTCTTCTTTCCAAGACCTTTACTTCTTCGCACACGTGAGCGCAGTAACAGATGCTGGTTATTTTTTGCTCTTAAGTGAGAACTGGGCTGCCTGGCTCTTCGCCTTTACGTGCACACCTCTTACTGAGTTCCCAAGGTGGGAGCCCACCCCAGCCACTGGGACCATGACTGGGTTAAACAAACCCAGCTCTCAGCAAAGTGCCCCCTCACAAAACCCCCATGCACCAGGTACCCTGATCTACAGGGGACCAAGCACTTCTTGAGCAGCAGGAGAAAGATACCCCAAGGATGCGAGGAGGGAACACGAGCCGAGCAGACTGAGAAAGCTGCCAGCTCCCAGAAGCAGCACATTCTGAGAATAAGACCAAGAATTTCCCTCTCGACAGCTTTCAAACCAGCTCCTTCAGCATCCTTGAAGCGCTCGAGTGATCAGCGAGCAGCAAAGCCATCGGCTGTAACTTGGCATCCTGCAGGAGCAGAGGCTGCTGCCTCCCTCCTCACATGGTCCCTGCTGACGGTATCGGACAAAGGGATCTCGAAACCCGGGAAGGGGAGAACACATACACCCCCTCTTTGTTATTAATGAGTTCACATGAGAGCTCAGGTACCTCCCAGCTACCACGGAGCCAGAAACCTGCTCTGTACCATAGGCTGACACAGCCGCGAAAGATTCCCCCAGGAAGAGCTGGACTTCCAGGCACATCCACAGAGCTTCACCCTCCCAGCATCCACAATACATCCGGGCTCGTTGTTAACCTGCAAGAGCCAGCCCTGCTGCCCAGCACCGCTTCTGGGCTCTGAAGAGAGATGTTAGCCCAGGAAGTGATCAGATGCATAAGAAGGAGATGGTATACAAGGATAAGAAGCGGATTAGCAGGCAATTAAGTGGCATTTGTGGTATCTGCTAGTACTTCAAGCTACAAAGTGTCAGTTTCTGCCAACTTCCTGCCAAAAGTCCCAAGTACTGAGCTAATTACCAAACTAATTATTGCAAATGCCCTAGAAAGAAACCAGGGCACAGGTGAAAACCCACTTAGAGCAAGCCCAGCAGTAGGAGACAGCTCAGGAACGAGAGAGGAACCCGCCTCAGCTGCATTCCCAGCCATCCCTCTGAGGAACAGGAGAAAACAGTTGGGGAAGTTGTTGGATTCAAGCTGCATTCCATAAAGAGCGAGCTCAACACTGCAGTCAAAGCTGACGACAAGCCTGGAGGGCTGAGGGGAAAGAGCCCCTAAGGAAAAGCTAGTCCTGAGGGCTGCAGAGCCACCGGAGCCTCTCGGGGTAGCTGCGATTCCCAAGCAGATGGCAGGCGGCACCGACTCCTACCTCGTGCTTGACTTTCCAACCTGGAAGCATTTCACATGGAGCCTTCCACCGAGTGGCACCAGCCCTGCGAGGCTGTCACTAACGAGGATCGCACCCACAGTGACCCTCGCTAACGAGAGTGCTCCCAGCAGGGACCTCAGAGCCTTGCACAAGGGGATGTGCACGAAAACCCGGTTTTGGGGAAGTCTTGAGGGTAAAGCTTGCTCTGCTCTGCACATCGCAGCCTGCAAAATTTCCCACTGCAACCCACTAACGGGGTTTTCACGTCTGTAACAGCAGAGCAACCTGGAAAGTGGTTTCTTAGGGTAGAAAGGTACATTGCAGACACCCGTAGAGGTGTCAACAAGCAACCCTGCAGGCTCTTAAGGCAGAAGGGTAAGTCACAGACCACACACACATGGCAATCCCACCGCACTCCTGCAGCCTCCCAGGGCTCCAGCTCCAAGATGCACACGCCAGGACCACGCAGTTTGACATCCATGAGCTGGGGAAGCTCTCCCCATCTGGAAGCCAACTACCGCTGTTAGTACCTTGGTGAGCACTATCACAGGTACCATTTGCTGGCTTCACACCAAAGACTGGCTTAATACTGGTTAAAAGCTTTAAAGAATAAGCCCCGAGGCATGTGCACAATTACAGGTTTGGACAATAGCTCCTGATGGCTGGGAGAGACACTTGAAAAGGCTCCGGTTACCCGATAATGAATGCTATAGGTAAAACGGAGGGAAACACTGGGAATGACACAGGAAAACCCTGCGTGGCAACACACGACCCCCCCCTACCCCCCCAAGCTTTTCTATCACGCCTCACGTTTGGGGGCACCGTGTTTGCACAAATCCAGGCGGTGTGAGCTGCCTGCACCATGAGGCAAGTCAGGTTATTAACGCCTGGGTGAAGCTGGGAAGACCCACAGCAAAAGCTGAGCTGCACAAAACTCAGTAGCATGACCGCCCGAGTATGAAACCTCAGGTGCCAGGGGAAGCTGTGACCTTGAGAAACACCACTAGGACACGGTTTAGTCTCCACATCTGCTTTCCTCTGCTTGCCAGCACCAGCCCAGTCTTTTCGGTGGGGGGTTATAAGGCAGCAGGGAAATGCTTTTGGTATTTCAAGGCTATACTCCTAAGGATGCAGGGCTATTTAGACTGGACTAGGCTTACACTGCTTGTAGAAGCATCTGCAGAGATGCTCCGGAGAGCACACAAGAACAAAGTCCTTCTGCGTGCAGGCAGAGGTGCCCCCCCCAGCCCCACCAGCTTTGGTTCTGCACCACACCATACCCGGGGGAGGGTCTGTTTTCCGCTTCGGATACAGAGGAAAGCTGCCAGGATGAGCTGTTCTTCAGACACCAGAGCTACAGCACGTTCATTTTCATGCTAAATACTTCCACTCGCCATTCAGCCACCTGCCGAAATAAAACTCTGCCCCGAATACTCCCGAAAGCAGAATTTCACTGCTAAGAGCAGCAGCAGCAGCCAGCGCTGCCTGAATCCCGTGCCCCGACCCTAACCTCACGCAGGTGGGACCCACAGCATCATAACAAGGACTCATCACGGGCACCTGAGACCTGCAGCTGGGCGAGCACCGAGCAACCGGGCACAGCCCCGTTAACCCGCCCCGATTCCCCGAGGGGACACCACAATATCCCAGCGCTGCCAGAACAAAGAATTCTGGCCGTAGTAACCCAGAATCTACCTCAACACATTCGGTTATAACGTCTATCTTTCCCTTCATGAGCAACACACCGAAGCCGTTCAAGTCCTGCCGGGGCTGCACAGCGCCTGTGTGGCACCGCCGCTCCTCCGTTAAAACACCCGGGTTTGGGTTAAGTACGTTTAAAAACAATAAACTTCCCCCTGCCTGTTCCGGGGGGACGCTGCTGAAGTCTCGGGCCCCTTTTTCCCTGCTGGCGGCACCCAAACGGCTTCAAAGCACAGAGCGCTTGATTGAAAAAATGACGAAGCTGCTTCCCCGGTGCCCGCCGGCTCCAGCCGCGATGCTCGGACCCATTGGGGGTCAGGCAGTGAGTCCCCCCCCATTGCCGCCAGCGCAACACTCACCTTGGCACTGGAAGCCCTGCTTGCCGAAGCCCCTGCGGAGAGAGAGGCGGTGTGAGAACCCGAACGGGAGACAGCGGCCCTGCCCGGTGCGGGGAGCGGCACAGGGGGGCGAGGGGAAGGGATGCGCGGGGAGGGAGCGGGGGTCCCGGCGGGGCGCTCACCAGATGAAGTCGGTGCAGTGGCTGCAGAAGGTGGGCTGCTTGAAGAACCGCGCCGTGAACTTGTGGTTCTTCACCTCGTGCACGTTCTTCTGCCGCAGGGCGCCTTTGCGGGCGAACCGCACCGGGCCCTCCTCGCCCTCCGGGCCCGGCGCTGCCGGCGGCTCGGCCATGCTCTGCGAGGGCTGCCGGCCGCCGGCTCCGCTCCGCTCGCTTCGGTTCGGCTCTGCCCGGTGCGGGTCTCACCGGTTCGGTTCGGTTCGGACCGGCGCGGCTCGGTCCGCCCGCTGCAGCTGTGCCCGGGGCTCGGCCGCGCGCACCGTACCTCTATCTGCAGCTGGCGGGAGGCACAGACACACACCCGGCGGCGCTCCGCCCCCTAATTTACATACCCGTTGGGCCCGCCCATCATCTGCATAACGAGCCACGCCCCCTCCCGTCGCCCCTTCGCTGTAAGACTAAGACACTCCCTCTGATTTGCATGTTAATTTGCATAGCCCGCGCAGGAGAGGCTCCGCCCATCGGCTCAGTTGCATTCAGCATCTGCGTCCCCGACCCGGGCTGCCCGGTCCCACCGGGGGACCCAGGGAGGGACCGCGGGGTGACCGGCAGCGACACGGGCAGCGATGCGAACAGCACTGTCAGAAGCAGTGTGGGCTGCACTGTGGGCAGCAGCACGGGCAGAGCTGCAGGCAGTAGGTAGCAGTCCCCCTGCACGGGCAGCTCTGTGCCAGCCCCACTGCAGGGCCATTGTCCTCTCTGATTGCATTGCTGCCCATGCAGGCAGGGTGGGGAAAAGAGCAGGAGTCCATGGGAGGTGGATAAGTACTAATAATAGTGGTAATAATGATGGTAACGACAACAGTAAAACCCCAAGGGAAATCCTGCTGCGCTGCTGGCATCCACAGACACTGAAAATCAGATCTGCTGGCCTCCTGCTCCAAGGACCAGTGCTGCTGGTCTGGGAGCCGAGGAAATGAAAATCCAAATCCAAGCAGGACACAGCTTTAATTGGAACATAATTGTGGACTGGAAATGTTCAAGACCAGCTTGGACAGGGCTTGGAGCAAGCTGCTCTGGTGGAAGGTGTCCCTCCCCGTGGCAGGGGTTGGAACTGGAGGAGGTTTAAGGTCCCTTCCAACCCAAACCAGGCTGGGATTCTGTGATTCTATGAAATATTCCTGGGAACAGCAAGACTTTCTAAATTGTCACTTGCAGGATTTAATTCCAGCTCTGCAGCCATGTGATCATTTTCCTTCTGCAGCTTGAGAGCATCCCTGCTCTCCTGCGTTCCAGCCCTCCGTCCCACAAGCTCTTTCTCGGATCAACGCTCCTCCAGCCCTGTGGAATTAGGCACCCAGGAGACTTACCAGAAATAGGCCCAGAGTTGTTATTATGCCACTGCTTTAAAAGGCTCATTACAATAATGAGATGTAACTGACCTGTCCTGCTGATGTCGTCCTTCCACCAATAGACAGGCTTGTCACTAACACCCAGCCCCGTGTGCTTTCAGCGCTACGAAGAACTAAATTGCAGGCATCCCTCTGCCTGCCGTGCCTGTGCCATGAGGGGGTGAAGGGAACCCTCCCCGGCCTCCCGCTGTCCCAACACTGGGGCTGGTTCCGCCCTTGCTGCGGGGTGTCCTCTGCTCACTGCTGGGTGGCATATAGAAATCTTCCCGACAGAAATAACCCCTTCTGCATGCGAAGGAGCGAGAGCAATAATGACAATAATAACAGGTCCTTTGGATTCCTTGCCTGTGTACTTTCCCACACGAGAGTGCTGCATTACCCTCAACACAGGCTGCACTTAACGCGTCGCCATGCCAGGCTCAATTCCTCTCATTCTGATTGTAAACCCTGGGCTTTGCCTGGCTCTTCTTTGTTCTTCTTTCACTGTATGTTCCCATTTTCCAAGCCCAGCCCGCACAGCTGCTGCACAGGAAACCCAGCAGCAGCAGGAACCGCAGAGAAAACAGCTTTAATTTCCCCCTCCAAGCACTGATGCCCATGTTGGTATTCATGCACAAGCTTTCCTCACTCCGCTGCTCCGAGAAGTACAAAAGCCAGGTACAGGCCGTGCTCTCGGGGGGTGTTTTCTTGTTTCCTTATTTTGCTGTTTCATTATTCAGCACACTCCGAGCTCCAGCACATTAAAGGCAGCATTTTCAAGACCACGCTGGTTTTCATGGGAGCTGGGTATCCACATCCCCTCAGCACTTTGGAACGCGGGGCTGAACATCCCAGAGCTCCTTCCTCTGAGGAAACGGCTGTATTTCTTCATGCAAGCAAAGTCCCCGCAGGTGTGGTGAGGGGACTTCACAAACAGCTCTGACCCCGCTCTCAGGGCAGCAGTGCATGGCCTGATTCATTCCCATTTCCAGGTTCTGTATCGCATTTTCCCCTCCATCAGCTCCTGTCATCAGATAGAGCAGGGCACCAACACCCAGCCAGTGATACAAGCAACCAGGGTCAGTTTCCCTGTTGGATACCTCCATGGAGCACAGCACTGCGTGACCTAGGCTCACCCTGACCCACAGGCTCAGTGGCCTCCCTCTGCTGCTGGGGGTGGGAGAGCAGCCCCGCAGGCACCAGAGCTGCAGAGACAACGGGTGCAGGAGCAGGCTCCCATAGAGACATGATTCACATCCTGAGGAAGGGACCTCATCCTCCCACCAGGCAACTGAGGAGCTGCTGTGTGGAAGGGAAAGCTCCGGGTGTGCTGCAGGGAAACGTGGGAGCAGGGAGCCTGGCCTGAGCCTGCGGGGTCAGGGATGCAGCAGCCCAGCAACACAAGCCTTTGCTGACAGACCCCCTGCACCACAGCAAACAAACCACAGGGCTCAGGTCAGAAACCTGCTGCAATCGCACAGCCCGGTGTGCTGCACCACGGCACGCTGCAGCCGCTCCAGCCCTGCAGCCCGGCTCTGCAGCGCAAGGGGGAGAGCCAGCCCCAGCCCCCAGCAAAGAGGCAGGATCCCAACAGACACAGTGAATTCTCCCTGTTTCCTAAGCAAGCCCTGCCTCCAGATGTGCAGGAGCCCCAAACACTGCTGGTGTGGATGGGATATGAGCAGGAGCTCGCATGGAAGCACAAGCGAGCTTGTGGTGAGCACACTGCAGCCTCCAGCCTGGCACTGATGTAGGGATGCTGCTCCCTTGGTGCCCACACTGGCATTTTCCAAAGAGCCCAGAGGAGCTGGAGAACAGATTTTTCTCCTCTCCTCAGCGTTGTGTTTCTGAGGGACCTAAACCCGCTGCAGGAAACAGGTGGAGGAAGAGCCAAACTCTAATTAAATATCAAGGTGTCTCAGCAGCCTCCGCCTGTGTTTGCAGATGCTCTCTTGCCCCTGAACATGCTGGCAGGACCAAGGCAGGGATAGGGCACCCTGGAGCAGGGACAGGGGATGCTGGAGCAAGGACCTGCTGTGCCCTCCTTGCGGATGCAGCCAAGCAGCAATTGCTCCATGGGCAGCCAGCCTTAGCTCTGCATCAACTCATGCGGCTCTGCAGAGCTCATGTGGAGCTTTCTGAGGATGCTCCTGTGCACACTTTAAGGTCACAGGAGCGGGATAGAGGCTGGTGGTGTCCTGGGGTGATGCTCAGGGGTGCGTGCTGAGGCAGCAGCACTGCTCCATTGGGTCTGAGAGACATAAGAAGAGGTTTAAGTGCTTTCACCCAAAATGTTCTTTGCAGGGAAGGGCAGATCCACACACACGCTTGCTTTCTTCTCTCTTTGGAGGAAAGCCCTGGTTGCAGGCACCCGCAGAGCAGTGTGGCTGCAGTAACAACACACAGGGCAAAGGCCTGTGAGGCAGCTGGCGCATCCCTAGCCTTGCTGCTGCTCTGGGGATGGAGCTCTTCTCCAGGCCCTGTGGGGAGCAAAAGGGCTACTATGAAGGACCCTGCAGCAGGGCAACATCAGCTGTGCTGGTTTTCCCCTTCCTGCTTTCCCAGTTTGGGCATGTTTCACGTCCTCCGTGCAGTGAGGAAGAGCAGAAGCTGCATTCATGTGAGGAGAGACCTAGTTACCCACCCACCAGAGGCAGGAGCATCCTTCGCAGCCAGCCGCTGTGTGAGAAAACGCATCCCAGACGTTGGTGCCTGCACATTACATAAACCCACACGAGTGGCCAGGGTGGGGAGAGCATGGGGAGAGCCGCAGCAGCACAGCCAGCAGTGATGCACGGTGCAACAGCCACTGCTCCTGTCCTGGATGCCAGCAGCAATCATCTTCATTTACCTCTACCCGACTCCTTGAGCAGCCGCGGGTTGGTCCAGCAGTGGCTGCCAGCACTGGATGTGCTGGATGGGAGTCAAATGGAGCTGCTTCAAACACAGGGAGCAGAGACACCCAGGTATATTGGGCAGAGAGGAGGAAACCTGGGCAAAGAAACAAAGCAATGTTATCCCAGCGGTCCCCAGAGTGCAGGTTGTTCAGCTGGCAGAGAGCTGGCATCTCGCACTCATCCCAGGACACAAGCGAGTGAAGGGACTTCAATAAATGGTAGTTAGCAGGGGTCCATCCGCCCAGAGCGGAGCAGACAGGACAGCATCTCCCCATCACACCAGGGAACCCAGCTGCCTGCAAGAGCAGAGCTCATGTCCCGTTTCCAGGCTCCCAGCCACACTGTGCTCCTTTGCCAACATCCCACAGGCACTCAAGAGCAAGCTGGGATGTGAGGACAGCCCAGGGGTGCAGCCAGGCTGTAAGGGACCAGCCATTCCCTGCTGCAGCAGCGGACTTGCAGTGCTGGTGTTCAGGGCTTGTGGAACCTCACTGCTGTTTTTCAAGCCCACCAAGGTTTCTTCCATCCCCCCTCCAGGCAAAGCAGGCTGCAGATGAAGAAAGGAGATGAGGAGCCTGTGCTCACTGCCCCATGCTCCATGCTCCAAAGGCACCACAGAGCGGCAGAACACGGGTACCCCACACCTGCATCACACCGTGGGTATGTGGTTCAGCACATCACAGACATGGTTAGGCTGTTTAAATATTTCATATCCCTGCTGCTGGCTTTCAGGGGGAACAAATTAATTCTGCTTCATGTGCCCAGAAAGGGCCCACATCAAACCGCCCTCCTGCACTGTTGCTCAAACAAGGTCACTGCTAAAATCCTCGAGTTTTGAGTTTGCTTCCAAGCCCATTTGATTGATAAGTGGCTTTCCTGCCCTACAGCTCTAAGGTAGGAAGTGGTCATCACTTCTTGCTGTTGGTCCATACCCATGGGCATTTC